GCTTCCTTTCGTTCATAGTAAATTTAAAACATTTATGTGGGGAAGATGTTAACATGGAAGAGCGTATAGAAGTCTGAAGTTCTGGAAGGGGGGTCAGGGCTAAGGATAGAAATGATACTTAAAGAATGAGCAGTAATAAAGTCCCTTGGGAGGGATGATGGAGAAGAAGGAGGAAAGAGCCACTTGGAGGTCAAGAGGTGGAGAGTATCAAACTGTGTTAAAAAGAAACGACAGGTCCAAAATGGAGCCACTTGTGTTAAGTCCCACCAAGACTTAATAGTTAACCTCATTGCAGTGTCCACTTGCCCCCAGAGTAGAATTTTAAACCACTCAGTCTGGCATTTCTCGATCAGCACCAGTGAGGTCATCTGTATCATCTACATGAGGAGACCTCCCGCCCCTCCCCCTAAAGGAAGATGACCTTCTCTGAAACAATTTTTGGTGATAACTTCCTTGTCCTGGCACCACGCAGTCCCCGCCCATTTCTGCCTAGAAAAGCTTCCTATTTGGCACAATTCCTGGGAGCTCCCTTCTATTTGTTTGAAAAAAGTCAATTAGTACTTTAAATTTACTCAGTTGAATATTTGGTCTTTAACTAGAGGAAACCTGGGAGGAAGCAGGGAAACCAGGAGAAAGGTGCCCTAAAGCCTAGAGGAGAAAGTGGTTCAAGAAAGAGGGAGCATCAATTCCGTTGAAGCTGCCAGTAGCCCAAGTAACATGAGGCCTGTAAGCGAGAGCAGGATTTGGCAACATGGAGGCCGTCGGTGACATTGACAAGGGCAAGCCTGGTGGAGTGGGGGCAATGAAAGTTCATGCAACATGGACTGCTGGAGAAGGCAACATGAGGAAGTGGTGGCCGTGACTATAGCAGATCCCGTAAGTACTTTTGCTGAGAAGGGCAGATAAATGGGCCTGTATGATGATGATATTACTGCCGGGAGATGTAGACCATATTAATATGATAAGAATGATTCAGGAGAGAGGAAGACTTTATGATATAGGAGAAAGATTCTATCTGCAGGATGAGGCCCTGGAGGGTATAAGGATACAAACTTGCAGAGGCCCAAGAGAAGGGCTGGCCCCAAAATGCCACTGGGAGTGCTTGTCCTCTTTAAGAGGAAATGCAAAAAGCTTTGCCATGTGGGTCGGTCTACAGATGGTTTGGGCGTGGGGAAGTGGATGCTTCTATTTTCTCACTGATGTCCTGAGCGAGGACAAAGAATATACTAGAGAAAATCCTCAAGTGGAACTGCCTCTGAGTGCCCTTTTGCAGTATGTCATCATGAATTTGAAGTAAGACAAGTCATTATATTTGGGTGTTTTTCTCCAGGAAATTTCAGAGGTTTCCCTCCTCCCGAGGTCCCCTCCAACTCCGATCCTGCCCTAGCTCGGCTTTATCTGTCTGTCCGGCTAGATGCCAGTTCTGTGGGAAAGCTGTGCTGCTCCTCTAAGTATAGATCTGGTGCTCTCTTGTCTCTCTTACTGCGCATATGACTCTACCGTAATTATCCACTGACTCATATCTCTATCTCCCTCCGGAATGTAAGCTCCCATCCAGCAGGGATTTTCAGCTCTAATGTTCTGAGCTCTAACCTCAACTTCAAATGCAACACTTAGCACTACAATAGGTGCTCATTGAATAAACACGGTCCCATAAGGCAAATATCAACCTCTCCAATTTCCATATTAACATCAAGAATGTTTGCACTGTCAATTAAAAAGATTTATTGCCTATTCATTACCAAAACACTAAGTTTCCTTAAGATTTATAGTTTAGCTTCATCTTACTGTGGTTCCCAAAGTTACTATATATAATTATATACAGGGTAATTTTATTTTTAAAAAGGGGTTTGCACTTTATTTTTTATTATTTTTTTAAAGATTTCATTTTTAAGTAATCCCTACACCCAACATAGGGCTTGAACTCAACCCTGAGATCAAGAATCTCATGCTCTACCGACTGAGCCAGCCAGGTGCTCCTAAAAAGAGGTTTGCATTTTAGCTGACTTCCTTTTCACTCTGCTTTCTAAAAATGGCAACTAAAGGGAAAAAATGTATAATAGTAAAGGTTAGAGAAGAAAAGCAAGCAACAAGCTTGTAAGTATTTTAAGTGTGGTGTAAGAGACCTGTACGTCATATTTTATCTACTGGTTTTCTTTTTCAGATTAGAAACCAATAAGTTTGAGGGCAAATATGCCTCATTTTTCACACAAACATTTGTACAAGAAGGGGAAACATATATTAAAGAATGAGATCTTAGAATGGTTAGGAAAATTTTGAGAAGATATCATTTAGACTTAAAGTCAGTTGCCATACAAAGGATAGGTTCAACACAATCGGGGACATGGGTCTCAGTGGTATTCAATTCTCCATTGTTGGTAATAGACATTTTTTTTTTCTTTCTCTGATTGATCAAAAGTCATTACAGCCACTTACCGGATCAGTAGGCACTACAACATTTTACAGAGATGCAAGAATTCATTTAGTTTGTCACATCATCTTCAAAATATCCAACAACCTTGAGATAGACCTTATGTCCAATATAAGTAAAATATACTATAAATAGTGCGAAGCTTGGACAGATTCAGTAAACTTATATAAAGGCATAGAGCTGGTAAAGGGAAGAGTCTGAATTCAATTCAGACCTGTTGTTTGGGCTCTAAGAGTGACAAAACAGGGGCAGCCCCTTATGATGTCTCAAGTCCCTTCCAGTTCTAACATTTTGTAATTTCTAAAGAAACAAAGAAATTTTCTCCCTACACTTCTTTCTCATCTTGAATTATTAATCCCATGATCAGCTGGGAGACAAATCAGAATCTTCTCGACATCTCTCCTGTTTTCCCAATGTGCACTTGTGGACTAAAGCTTTATGCACAGGAACTCAAAAGGACAACGTTTCCTTGGTGTAGTAAGAGAGCCATTTCCGTTTTACTGCCTAAAGCTCTGCTATAGAGAGGAGGATGGCTAAAAACAAAAGACCAGGACAAATAAATATCTTAGAGTTGCTTAGGAAATGGGTGTTATATTAGGTCACATACTTGTTGGAAAAGTAAATATTTATTTTGATTCTGTATAATGCTAAATTCACTCTTGCCATTAATTTATTCCAAGAGTTTTAATATGACCTCTATGTTTAACTCTGGAATCAACAAGGCACGTCAGTCAGATGAACATTTGGCACATGACATGGCGTGTGTTACTTACATGGAAAGCATATGTAATAGTGACCATTTGTCTAGTGGGATACGTCACAAGATTTCATTGTGGGAATGAATTCATTGCACAGATGAAGAAAAAGTTCTCAGAAAGGCCCGTGACTTGTCTAAGTTTGAACTGCTAGTAAGGGGCAGAGTCAGCACCTAGAACATGCTCTGAGAGTTCATGAATATAACACTCTTTGGGATGACGTATTATTACCTCTCAGAAAGGCAACTGCAGAATACTAAACACTTTTTATTCTTTCTTTATTTCCCTAGACAGTCCTAAAGACTCATGATTGGGGTCATAAATCCTTGGCTCTCAGACCACCACGTGCATCACACCAAGTGAGAATGCCAAGTTGGAGCTGGACAACAGTGACGAGAGCAAATTGTAAGGAAGTTGTGGGAAAGGTCTATGGTAGCACAAGGGAAAGAACAGGGACCCGAGAGATGGAGAGCAGTAGAGACCCATCTGCAATACTGGGCGGTGAACTTCATGTGTGACTTAGCTGGGATGCCCTACTCTTGTCCCAACAGATAAAAGTCCTCTGGCTCTGCCCTCAAAGGCTTACTGGCCTTACATCCAGGGGCTCCCTTGCCCTCTAGCTTTTGGTTGCTTCTGCAAATGAGGGCCGCTGACAGAGATGGGAAGGATGGAAGTAAAGTCAGGCATTACCCTTGTCTGTCTCCCTGTGAGGTCCCCAAAGGTCACGGCTCCTCTCTAGGGCTCTTGCTTTCTATGACTCTCCCTCTCTGGGCACCAACCTTGTGGTCCTCCTCTCCCTGCCCACATCTGTGGTATCAGTACACATTATCCCAGCTCAAATGCTGCTGGAACCCTAACACATTCTGCAGGATTCCTCCCAGCTGTCCCTCTGCTTGTGATTATGTTGTCAACTACTGCACTTGGTTTCCTTGTCCTTCTTTCTCTAAAGTAAGGATTCTTGGCTTCTTCACATGAAGTTCAGGTGGTGCACAAATTATTAACACAAGAAAATGTTTTGAATTCACTCCATTTTCTTAAAAGCATGACTATCGTCCACAATCACAAAAGACATGCCAAAAGTAAGTAAAATAAGGACACAGCTTTATTTCTCTACAAGGCAGTAAGTACACTGTCATCTCCAAGTTCAGTGACAGACATCTGGCACCAAATATTCTTAAGGCAGCCACTGGCTTTCATCCCTAGTTTCCTGACTCCAGCTGCAAACAAAGGCTCTGTATGGCAGTTCCGAGCCGATATGCTCAGAAACCATAGGGGACGCCAATCAAACACATAACTCCTGAATTAAAGAACAGTGAGGGCAAACTCATAACAAAACACAGGACATCAACAACACAGATCTCCCAAAAAAAGAAGTGCAATGCATGCTCTTAGAAACCATCAATAACAAAAAAAAAAAAAACAAAAAACAAAAAACAAAACAAAACAAAACAAAAAAACAAAAAACCAAACCAGTAACAACAACAAATGCAAAATCTCCCAAACAAGTTTTCCAATGTATTACAATGGGGGTGGGGGGAGGTACATATATATATATATATATATATATATATATATATATACACACACATATATATATATATAAAAAAAATAAAAAAGTTTGAAATACTAGTGCATAGTCAATTACCTAACACCAAGTTTCTTTTCTTTCCATCCAAAGCTCTACTGCCCCTCTGATACTAGCAGCATGTCTACAGGCTAAAACCATAGCAGCAAAACACATTTTTTCATTTGGCATTTACAAAATTAAATTACTGAATAAAAATATAATTTTTTATAAAACTATTTCATACAGTAATAATTTTTAAAGCAAGCTAACAAAAAAACTCATAAAATGGTTTAGTACAATAAATGTACCTCCAATGTTATTAACCATAAATGAGCATTTACAATCTTGATTAAAGATCCCATGGTATTAAGCCAACATTTACAGTAATGCATTGTGTTTAGTGATTGAGAAAAGTGATATATTAGAATACCTTTTTTGTGTGTGTGTGTATAAAATTTCAAAAACCTCATCACAGGAAAAAAAAATACTGGTCCATTGGTCCTCTAAAAAACAGATAAATCACTTTATGTTTTAAAAAAATCTGCATTAAGATATTAAACTGACTATAATTCATTACCTAAAAATTTAGGTAAGACTGTTATTTATTTATTTTTAAAAAATCCTTTTTGTGGGGTGAAATCCCAGAAGATTTCATCCACCTAAATGCACTTGGTGCTGCTCTCAACTGTTGTACCACAACAAAAATAGGCTCTTCTCCCATTCATGAAAAGTCTCATGTAAAGGAATGACATATCCCAAGTCAACTTGAAGTGTTCTGAAAACCATAATGCTTGTCTAGAAACGTCTCACATGACCAGAGTCCGGGTTGAGAAGGCGTTCACATACTTCCGAGCCTGACCAGAAGCCGTCACCTGATCTTCCGTCTTTCCACAGGAGGCAGCTTCCCAGGCGCCACCACAAGGCTAATGGGGGGAAAGAGGCCAATGGCGAGGTTAGACAGGAGACCCATACTTCAGCCCCAGAGGATTCCCAGTCCCAGCAAGGCCAGCTGATGGAATTCTGACCCTCAGACAGCAAGAGGAGATACCAGGGAGCCTTTGTCAGATAAAATCTGACTTAGGGGACTCCAGTGTTCTGAAGGGATATTAATGATCAGAAATCATTTATTGCTAAGAGAGAGGAAACCCCACTTCAGACAATATCATAAGCTACAGTTGCTTCTTGGCCCTTGAGCGCCTTTTGTCAATTAGGGTGATTTTTGCAAAGTTGGAGACAGGAATGGGCCTAATCCTCCCAGATACCTAAGATGTCTCTGGGCGTTTACTCATTATGCAAACTGGTGAGGGCTTCAGTTATCTGAGAGAAAAAGCTCCCACAGGTCCTGGAATCGACTCACTACTAAACATAGTATGTATATTGTATTATCAGTGAAATATCAATTAATTTAGAAATCTCTGTTCACCAGGCTAGACACGCTGAAAGATCTACTAGGCAGCATCAACATCCGGGTCTGGTGTTCGACACATCACAGATCTCACTGACACAGCACAAGCACCCTGAGGGGGAGGTTCTTTCTCTCTTCAAACTGGCAGGAAATGGAAACTCAGAGAGTGGATATAACCTGCCCAAAGCCGCTCCGAGGGTGAGGAGCGGAGTGGCTTTGGGCCCAGGTTTGTTTCCTGCACAGTCTGAGACCTTGCCTTCCCTCCATATTGCTTCCAACTGAAATACATACTGTTTTGCTCTACTTTGTTCCTGAAAGGATTTATGATGCTCACAAAATAAATATAAGATAACAGGGATTAAACAGTAGCCGAGGCAGGGTCATGGGGAAATACAGAAAAAATAAATAACACGACGATGGGGTGATATTTGTACATAAAACATTTGTCATGAAATACCGTATGCCAGCTAGGTGTCAGCCTCAAGCCTGTGCCTGAGCTCTCTAGTCATCACCGTAAAGGGGGACACAGAAACACAAGCAGATTTGGGGTCTGTGGCTCAAAACTAAACCGGTGGTTTAGTAAAAGCCCAACTCTTCCCCCTATGGACACCCAAGAGGGATTTTTCCATGGGACAAAAGAAGAAGCCAAAAAACGCCTCTGCTTTTTAGAGCCTCCAAGGTCCTGTAGAGGACAAAGTGAATGCATGGGAACCAGGTGGGGTAAGAGGCACCATGGGAGGTTTGTGGGGTCGTGCCCAGGTGAAGGGGAGATGGTGCACTGAGACACTGCCAGGGAAAGGACAAGATGGGCAGGAGAGAAAAAAGGAACGTACCCTGGGTAGAGAAATAGCTCAAAAGAACCAGGAAGCTGCAGTTTGTATACTGCTTATGGGAGGGACTGCAAGAGAGGAAGATCAGACAGATTTGGTGACAACATTTAGCAAGGGTCACCATGAGCCAGCCATGCTTCCAAGCGTTTTCCGTCTTTCATCTCACGCACGTCATCCTCACACAGGTTGCCAGAGGCACAGGGGCGGATCGGTGGCCCTGTTTTGCAGACCGGCCAATGGTGTAGGAAGAAAGAATGTGGGCAACATCCCCAAGGTTAACCAGCTAAGAAGTAGTGAAGCTGGGCTGAGTCTAGGCCCTTGAGAGTGTAGGACGCCCCTGCCATTAGCGTCCTTAACAGTGGAAAATTGCGGGTTCAGTCCAGTGAGGTCTTGGACTGCAGGAAGAAGTGTTTAGATGGTGGGGTGGGGGGCAGAGTGAAGGTCAAAATCATCAGGCTTTGTAGCAAAGAGGAAACATTCTGAATGAACATGGCATTTGTACAGTGATGGGGTTTCCTAGCCTAGTGGCTGGAACAAAGTGTCAGTGACAGAAGGCTTACGGTGCCATGTTTCTAACTTGGGAGCTTGCACAGGACACAAAACTGGTTTCCCGGCTTCTGCCCCACCTGCCGCGCAGTCTCACCACTAATGCAAAGGGCATCGTCCAAGTTTACACACGTTTGCTCTGAAGGCTCAGAAGCTCAGCACCTACACTGAAATACTATATAGCGAGATGGATTATCATAATATTTTCCTGCAGTTGTGTATCACAAGGATGACAAGTGTTCGTTTGGAGCTGACTTCTGCCTTGGGTCACATTTAATCTTTTCCTAAACAAAATCACCAATTCCTTTGAAACAGTTCTGGATAAATGATGGTTCTCCAGGTTCAAATAAGCAGATTAAATACACATGTTTCTCTGGTGTATATCTGTCCGTACAAATTCCATATTTCAATTAAGTCGGCTGTTTACATGTTGTTGCTAAATTGTTCAGTGCCATGCTGAAACACCAAATTGAGGCATGAAGCCCAATTAAGAAAAGTTGATGTTACTGTTTCAGTGACTGAGTTAGCATCTGTTGTCACTGCCATGGTGTGACCTGTCACTACTCCAGACCGAAGAGGGAAATATGGCGGACGTCTGCATGAAGGATTGCGCAATGCTCAGAACCAAGGGCATGGGTCTTAAAAACAAGTGAGTGAAGAGGCTACAGAAGGAAATACCTTCATATGCCAATATCTTCTATGTAAATCCCAAATCACATAAGACACACACAAAACCCCAAAATACCTATTTTGAGAGAATCCATACAAACAGATGGAGGGGAAGGGGGAATGAAGGTGAGGTTGGAGAGAAAAGTGAGAAACAGGGACAAATGTTTCTATTTTTCTCTGGTGAATAATTTTTCTACTTAATACTACTCAGCCATCCAAAAAAAAAACCTTGCCATTTCAAACGATGTGGATGGAACAGGAGGGTATTATACTAAGCAAAATGAGTCAATCAGAGAAAGATAATTATCATAAGATCTCACTCGTAGGTGGAATTTAAGGAACAAAACAGAGGATCGTATGGGAAGAGAGGAAAAAATAAAAGATGAAAGCAGAGAGGGAAACAAACCCTAAAAGCCTCTTAATCATAGGAAATAAACTGAGGGTTGCTGGAGGGCAGGGGTCTGTCAGAGATGGGGTAACTGGGTGATGAACATTAAAGAGGACACGTGATGGGTAGTATACAAGACTGAATAATCATTGACCTCCATCTCTGAAATTAATCATCCATTATATGTTAATTAATTGAATTTAAATTTAAAAAAAAATTTTTTAAAGAATTTTTCTTAGGTGTGCTTCAGTAAATATAGACTTAATTTTTCTAAACATGTAAATTATGTATCTTCTTGAAATTTGACTGTGTTCTTATTGGCTCCCCTACATGGCTCACCACTTTATCCATGTTTGGCTCTTTCTCCAGGATTAGATATTTAAAACAAGATCAATAATAAAAAGGTACCCTATATTTTTAATTAGTGTTTTAAGGAAACTTTTCAGTCAGCTTTTCCTAAGTCAAAACAGAATTTTCCTAGAAACAAATCGAATTCCAGAAAATGGAGCATCTCAAGGGCATATAAGCCCTGTAGCTCAAAGCCCGGGGAGGGCAAGATGGTTGGAACACATGACTCTCCTGGTGCAGACAAACACCAGGACCCAGTAGCCACTGTGTGTAGAAAAGCCAATGGGCACCATGAGCGGGCATCTCCTTTTCTGTGGGTGTGAGTACTTCTTACAACAATGAATGAAAAAACTGGTTAGAGCAGACACAGACCCACAGGGTGAGAGTTACGGAAGAGCAGAGGGACCGGTACTCAGGTAAGAGAAGAGGTGCTCAGGTCCAACAGTTGAAATTACGGTGGCCTCCTCTTTTGCTTCGTCTCTCTCCTTACCTCATCCTTCCCTCTCCCTACCTTGAAGCCCTGTGGCCCTTGGCCAACTTTTCAAGCAAACAGAAGAGTTTTGACAAAGGGGGATTAAATGTCTTCATGCTAGAAGAATATTTTTTACTGCTGTCATATATACCTTTGTGCCTCCTTTATTCCGTCTTGAATTTTAGCTTCCTTTACACTAAAGGATTGATTAGAATTATGGATTTCTGCACAAGAATTCTCGTGTTAATGCAGACCTGTCACTCACATGCTAATTCACTTCAACATTAATAATCCTACTACACATCCTCCTCCTCTTGCCTGAGAGTCACCTTGTTTATCCTGTGATGGGCCTTTAATTGTCCTCGGGGCAGAAGTGAACTGTAAACAGACTGTCAAAGCTTTAACTGGGATATCCTGCTAAGGCACTTGAAATAAATACTTGGATCCTTTGTGGAAAACAGAAGAAATAAAATGAGATAAGACCATGTCCACAGGTGGTTTTCTGTCAGAATTAGATTGTCTTCTTGTTTTCCTTTAGAATATAGGTTTTTTCATCATGTTGAACATTATTATATTCACACTGCAACTTCACACAATAGCTGATGTTTAAAAACCTTGGCAAGCTACGTGCTTTCCAATTCAGAGCCCTAATAAAAAATTTGCACCAGTCATAAAAAAATGATTTTGTAAAACCAAAGCAACTCATGAGACAGTACTGTTTTTTCTTTCGTTCTGTTTTTAAATAATAAACAGGTGTCCTAACAAGTAAGAACAAGAATTATCCGATTATTCTATTTAACCCATCTGAAGAAAAGACTTGCTCTGGACTAAAATTCTAAAAGTCAAAAATTCCTTCCCCAAAGGGCATCATTTAAAGATGTATCAATTATAAGACATAATGTAAAAATCTTGAAAACTGTTGAATCTTGAAAGTCAGGGATGGACCAGAGATGAAATGTCACTAAGGTAAGGTCAGTGGTCAACTTCTCCCACGCATGAACGCCTCCCAGTGTCTGCACAAAACAGTGAAATGACCCCAACTTCAGGGTTTTTAACTTCTCATAGAAAAAAAGCCTTAAAAGTTAGGGAATTAAAGGTCCAGGCAGTGATTGGAAGTTGCCCCATCCACCTGTGCCTCCACTGTCCACCCAAACCCAAGTTAACTGTTGCTAATGTAACTATAATTTTTCCCAGTTTGGAGTTTTTCCTGCATGTCTTAGGGGTATCGTTCCATCTTACATGTTTATAGATTTTGCAAACATTTA